GTGAATGAGGAATTGAAACGACGACGAGGACGAGGACTACGACGACACGTTACATGTATTACCCAACACACAGCGGTCCAGGCATGATGGCTCGTGAATCATGACCTGACACACAGCCAGCACTGTATGTAACTAACTCGTGTATCCTCTTTGAGGGATTCCATCCGGGAGTGCAAACTACACTATCAAGTGTTTTCCAGCCTACGGGTGAACAACGGCTATTCGTCACGGCGCCGTGGTGGCCTTCATTTGGAAGCAGTCCTCGCTAGGGGGGATCCGTTTACACCCTTCGGGGAGCATCTCTCTCTTTCTCTCCCCTTCACCTCCGTTCTCGCTATAGGTAGTTTGAGCCTCCCCGATGTGAAGTCCGAAGCCCCCTTCATATGCGATGATTTGAAATTTGGGCCCCTCATCCTCAGTCTGGTCTAGTGTCTAGTGCATTAGGGTAAAGTGCTTGCGGTAAAGTGCTGATGCTTCGTGTCGCGCAATGATCGGATGGTCTAGTTGTTTCCGCACAAGCATACAGCTACAAGATTCGTATTTTCGCATCAACAACATCACCTGCGCGACAGTGCACTCCGATGCCGGTGGCACTAGCGGGGCCAACAACACAGTCAGAGGCCACTCACGGTACTCGCTTAGCCACAGCTGCAGGGAACACTTGTCTTGCAGCGGCACACCACAATGCAGCATACTACATTGCCTACCTTTTGCAACAAGCATGCGCCTCGTCACGGGGCACTGCGTGTGTGCACGTCTCTCGTTCATGAGAAAAGGGGTTCACAACCCCTTATCTGTCATCAACATCTATTTGCAGGGGACCACCGAAGCCTCCGAGGAGCAGTGGTCAACGAAGACCTCCCCGGAAAGCCTGTGCAAACGTACCTGCTCTATCCACCCTCATTGCACCTGGGGCGGTCGTGCCAGCTGGTGAATGAGGAATTGAAACGACGACGGGGACGAGGACTACGACGACACGCTACATGTGTTGTTACCCAACACACAGCGTTCCAGGCATGATGGCTTGTGAATCATGACCTGACACACAGCCAGCACTGTATCTAACTCGTGTATCCTCTTCAAGGGAATCCATCCGGGAGTGCAGATTACACTATCAAGTGTACCACCCTGAAGCTAAGGGACCCGCAATTGCATAACAAAAAGCAGGAGGGCAGCGTGAAGCATGTTGTTCGCTCCCCAATGAAGATGGCAACATGTTTCACTGAGATAAAGAAAACCTGCTGCAATGGTACCCTCAAAGCTTGTGTTCTGCAGTGGCCATCAGAAGTGATCGAAAGTGTGACAAGATATGTGATTTAAGAGAAGTGATGAAAGGGATGAGAATAATTTGCTACCCTATTGTATAACTTCGGTTATACTGAGGGTCACTCCAAGTGTAAGTGTGTGTGTGTGTGTGCGTGTGTGTCTGTGTGTCTCTGTGTGCGTGCGCAGGTGCGGGTGCTAATTTGAATGTGGATGTGGGTCAGTGGGTGGATGGGTGGGTGGGTGGGTGGGTGGGTGTGTGTGGGTCGCGTGCGCGAGGGCGTGCCGTAAAGACCACGTCATGTCTCGTGTTGCCATACATGGCCAGGTTTCCAGATCTTGTATTCAGCTGGCTAGGACAATCTGTTTTGGCTGATCGGAGCCACATAGTAATTAACTCATTGTTATGAAACATATTATATATTGCAACCATGGAAATGGGAATGCATCTGTGTCTGGCGATGGCTCTTCGGCCCAACGCTTTCGCCGCAGTTGTCTCCAACACGTTCATGATTGCGGGGTATTGCGGCTGTATGCGAACCTAACATGATTGGCATGGAGTGAACGAAGAACGCTGGCCATGCTAGCAGCTTTCGGCACTTGGTTTGGCCCAAGTTCCAGCAGTTTTCAACTTACAGTGCAGGGGGCTTGCGGCCAGTTGCGTGGTGTCAGCCAACGAGATGAGACTCGCGAAGCAGGTGAAGTGAGTTCTGTGCACATGCTTTTGTACACGCAGCTGGCCGGACCCGCGCAAAGTCGGGCCTTTACCATCGTTGTTGGAAACATGTTGCCACTATTACGCTTGTCACTCGCAGGACGTCGCTGACACTTGCCACACTGAGAACTAGGGCAGACGTGCACCTTCATTCTTTAGCTTGGATGTCATCCTAAAGATATAGAGAAGGTTGGTTTCACCGGGACCTGTGACTTCAGCACTGTGCACGTTTGGTTCTTGACTGTGCAGTCTTGACAACGCCAGATATGGCGAGCATTTACAGCAACATGCAATGCACCCGCCGCGGTCCGGAGGCATGTCATCCGAAAACTCGTCAACATGGGGCCATCTAAAGACTGCGAGCAGGTCTGCCAGATTCGAAAGGCAAAATGTTTCTTTCGTGGGCGGGAAGTGTAGAAGTGACACCTCGAAGGCTTTCGAAGGCGAAACGTCGAATCGCCGCTTCGGTACCGAGGGACGCGGCACTGCTGTTGTCTATCCACGGACGTGTTTGGCAAGAACAGTCTGGCTCCATTCTCGCGGTGGTACACCGTCATCCTCTTCAGCTGGGAGAATGGAGAATGGCGGCGCAAACGAAATACGTGGCAGAATGGCTTAGAAGAATAAGGGCTAGCTGATACACAAGGAATTAACGATTTTGTAGAGACCATCAATGCCACATGCGCTCTTAGTATCTCTTAGTTACACGCTTGCGAGGACCGTGCCCCGCAAGTCATGCAAAGAGCGTGTTGCCATTGCTTCATGCCGCCGACGCCCTACGCCGACAAACACGTGCCTGCTGCAGTTGGTCCCCGAAGATGTTGTCCAGCAAGCTGCGCTTCAGCACCAGCACCCTCAGCTCAGAGGCAATCAAGTCTTCCAAACCTTCTTCGGCGCCTTCAGGTTTATGACTGTCGAAGCCGTCTAGCTGCGCTGAAACGCCGTGTAAGCTGCTGGCTCGACAGGAGTTGCCGCCCGCAAGTTTGTCGGCTGCTCGAAGAGAACCTCATCCTGCACGGTGCCCGAAGGTTTTTCAAAGATTACAGCGCTCTATGGCTGTGAAGGTGGAGCGGGCGAGGTTCCTTGAAGGGAAGAGCGTAGTCTCCCATCAAGTGAAACCTCAACAGTGATTCCACCAAATGCCTCCCTGGTACGGTTGTCCTGCACATTGACTGTGAGCCAACTGGCCTTGGAACTGCTTCCACATCTTGTGCATCCTTCCTGAAAAGCAGTGATTCGCAAGCTTTGAACAAGGCGTCTGTCGGTCATCGTGTGCGCACATCTCACACCGTTCCAGACGATGTTAGCAGTGCACCGAAAACCTGAGGTTCATGCCACGACTCCACTTGGCCACTGTAAAGGATGAGGACCTTAAACTGTCAGTCAACACCGAATGAATGCAACTTTGCTGAGGTGCACCTCCTTCGGAGAATCCCCTTCGCTGAGAATGGTATCTCCCTCTTCAAAGCTTCTCATCTCAACCTCGCGGAAGAGTATCGCTGGAACTCATGTCATGTCGGCCTCGGCCTCAGGATGAAAACTGTGACCAGACTTCCACACTGCCGCTGTAGTGGCATGTCCGCATCTGAATCCTGTGATCGGCCTGTCTTGTCGGCTACATCATCCTCACAGTCGTGCCTTTGAAGGGGCATGGCCTGCAGTGGTAGACAGGCCTCTGTATGACAAGCCTGCAAAAGACGGCAACAAGGGCAAGCCTTTGAGCAAGCCTGTTTTGATTGGAACAGAACCGATCGGGCACGGGTGGCGGAAGTCTGCCCGCCACGCCAAGTTGGCGTGGCACATCTCAACATGTGCGAACACCCCAGCACACGTCCACCCGCTTGTGGCTGTTCTGAGAGCATGTGATGTGTGCGGGCTTGGGAAATCATCGAAACAATCGAACCTCTCCATCTTCGAATGAAATTCGACAACTAATCCGGAGGGACCAAATGAACAGGCTAGTTGCAATGACGCTTGGTCAAACATTCTCAGGAAGTCTTTTGATCGTGGCTCTTGCAAGAAGCTTGAAGACACTTGGAAGTCGAAGCTGGAGAAACGAGTTTGGGACGAGTTCAGGAATGCCCAGCTCTAAAATACGCTCGAACGATTAATCGTCCTCCTGCCGCCTCAAAGCACGCCATGACAATAATTGACATGCTCGGGTGCCTGGTCATACAGGCTCTGAAGTTCGTACCCATTGAGGCCAGACCTGCAGGCTTCTAGTTGCGGTGCGGCCCCGACAGTGCCTCAAACAGCTGCAAAGCATGCCGAACTTGGTGCCGGGCAATATCTCACAAAGGTTGGATTTCAAGACCTGTGCAACAAATGTCCAGCAGTTCAGCTGTCCACACAAACGAAGAAGGACTGGCCTCGTCCGTGGCCTCAACGACTGAACGGCGCATTTGCTCGTACTGCTTGCTGAGCAACTCCCGCACCTGAATAGCAGTAGTCTTCGCACTGTGCAACAGGTCATGCCGCAGCGTATTCTGCAGCCCCCTTGGCACTGGTCCTGCATGCCCTCCATACCGTAAGCTCGAGCACCTCACAAAAGTAAAGCGACAAGCTCTGAAGACGATGTGCTTAGCTACGAATACAGTCGGGACAGTCGCCCAGTACGACTACTGCATCTTGCAGCTACTCTGTTTGGAAGCAAGATGGGTGGCCAGAAATACTGCTAGAAGGTCATAGCTTGCATTGGGTGCGCCGACAACTGAACGTGCTAAACTTACGCTTGCAAGACTTGCCAGCTACCTTGTAAGCCGACGGCAGTGGCCTTCTAGTTTGGGACATGTTCATCCTCGAGGTCTGGGTGTGAAAAGAATCAAAGTATCAGGATGTAGACAGCATGCCCATTGGCAAATACGACAACTGCTCAGGCCTCGTACAGAGTAACAACTATGTGCGGCACATTTTGAGGCTGGCACATCCTCTTGCACAGACCGTAGCATTCCGCTCCCCGAAGAGCAGGAGAACGCTCTCACCAAAAGATGTCCCCGGCCTCTGGAGAATTGACCATTACTGAGCTATACTGAGCTGAACTTCCAACGGGCTGTTTTTGGATTGAGCTCCGTGCCCGATGTAACAGTGAGGGTTGTTGTCTTTGAGGACACAAAACTCACCCTGAGCGACCACGAAGAAATGCGTGCCTGGGCACAGAGCAACATACCGTCCTGTTCTAAACGACACCTCTCTCGGCGCACCATCAGTGTCTCCCTGACGTACGACCTTCTCGCTGTGCTGGAACTCGTAGACTTCCATAGCCTGGCATGGCAAGCTATGACAGTAGTATTAGCGTTACTATACGCATTGGTATTAATAGAAACGAAGTAGTAGCATTGGTGTTGGTGTTGGTGTTAGGTAGTGTTAGCATTAGCCCTAGTAACACAAAGTGTGTTAGTGTTCGTATTCATGTTACTTTTAGTAATAGACAGTATTAGTGTTAGTGGTAGCTTATGTATGAGTATGAGTACCAGGAGATTATGAACCAATAGCATTAGTGATCGTCATCGTCTTGTAGTAGTAGTCGTCGTCGTAGTAGTAGTAGTGGTATCCGTAGGGGTAGTTGTTGTCGGAGTAGCAGTCATAGGAATAGGAGCCATAGTAGTAGTTTGTTGTTGTTGCCCCACCCCCACCAACTGCCTCCCAACTACCTCTCTTTAGCAGTGCTGCTGAAAGAGGGGGCGTGGGCGATAATGAAAACAAACATGGCAGCCTCGAACAGTTATTCTGCTGCCGTCCTGTCTTAAGGCTTTAGAACGCAAGTCAGCCATGGCCAAGAAAGGTGGTGCTGATGTTGATAAGGATGATCGTCCCTGGCGTGTTCTGTAGTGTCTCAGGTTCACCGGATCCGTTCGCCTGCACGCTGCTAGCTGCTTCGCCCATCGGGTGTTCACTTTGGACAATGCGTTTTCCTCTGCACTGTTCCGTCTTTGCCCCACAGTTTACGCGGCAGGCTAGCAATGGTTGCGGTAGTGGTCGTAGTAGTGGTAGTGGTGGTAGTGGTAGTGGTGGTAGGAGTAGTAGTAGTCGTCGTCGTCGTAGTAGTAGTAGTAGTGGCGGTGGTGGTAGTGGTAGTAGTAGTAGCATTGAGCCGGTGCCTTCTAGCTTCCACGGCATCAAGTTTCAATACTATTGACCACAGCATCCACAGCGCAAATGTCCTCGATCAGGCAGTGGAGTGCGTCATCATCGAAGGTCTCGAAGAAAGCCAGGTTCCCTGAGCTTGCCAAGTTGGATCCACCGTCCACACAATAAGAAAGCCGCAATGGGAGCCAGACTGAGTGTGTTCCGAAGCAGCTCCGTATCCTTCACAGCATCTGCGACCTCGAAGGGATCCGAAGGCAAGCGGCACGTCTTACTTGCGCACTTGGCTGAGCACATGTCGACTTTGAGCGTGGATCAATACTCTTCTGGATATGGTTTATTCGCACGATAACTGAATCCTTTCGCGCATTCATTGCGGAACTTTCGCGCGACTGTTTGTAGCAGCAGTAGTGAAAGGAGCAAGAGCAAGAGCGAAGGAGTGGCAGTGGCAGTAGCGTGGTAGTCCTAGTAGTCGCCGTCGTCTTAGGTAGTAGCAGTCGTAGCAGTAGAGGGCAGCAGTAGCAGTCGGAGTAGGAGCAGGAGCAGAGTAGGAGTAGGAGTAGGAGTAG